AATATTAAATAGTGTAAGTAAATCAGTTTTTTCTTTATCCATAAAAATTGTAAATACAGATACGTGAAATCACTTTTAAAACATAAAAATTATCAATAGAAATTAAATAATAACCACTAAATTTTAACAAGGAATAACAGAAGTACGGTTCATCAAATTATAAAATTATTTGAAGAATAAAATTGATTGTAATTTCTTTTTAAAAATATCATCAAACTAAAAATAGTGAAGAAAATTAAAATTCAAATATTTAATATGGAAAGGATTAAAAAGACATATAACTACATATTATTTAAGAGATATGGAAAAAAACCACTATTATTTAGTTTTTAGAATTATACAATTTTTTTCTGTATGAAAATTAAAAATATTTAATACTTTTCAAGAAAAAGAGTTTTTTATTCTTATTTGATATTCCTGTACAACTAAAAGAGTAGTTTCATATCTAAATCAAATAATGTCTTTAAGCATTTATATTAAATAATACATGGATTGATATATATATAATTAATAAAATTAATAGACATAAATAATGTAATATAGAAGTTACCTTCGTTAAATATCAAACTAGATATTATCAACAAAAGAAATATTAATTGCCGATTCTATAATATAATAAAAAAATCTTTTAGATATCAATAAAGCACATTATATAATGTGTATACTTACACATTATATAATGTGCTTATCAGTATAATGCCTCAAAAAAATATAGTACGATTTTTTTGTATATATGGTGTCAATAAACTGAAAAGAAATCCCCTAAAAACTAACCAAATATAAAAGTTGATATAAAAATCAAATTTAGCGGCCCTGAAGCCATATAGTTTAACCTTTAAAACGCAGAAAAAATATTCATATATAAAACAAATAAAATTAATTTTCCAAGGTTTATTCTATAAGCAGATAAAAAAAGTTCTCATTGTAATATTGCTTTAATTTCATAATAGTTTACACGTCCTTTAATTAATATAAACTTGAAATATTGTAATAGGCTAATATATTCTTCATAAAATGCATTTATTGAATTGCGAAAAAATAATTATAAAAATTATAAGGGAAATAAGCAATATTTTATAAATTTAATAATTCTGTAATTGATATTTTAATTTCAGTATAAAAGACGTTTGAATGATATCGCACAGACTAGTTGTCTTTTTGAAAATCGGATATCTTGTTATAAAATTGGAAATTTATTTGTGTATTATAAAATTTATAAATTATATGTAGTTTGTAAGTAAATTTCAAGTAAAATACATTATTTCAAACTACAACAAATGTTATTTTTAAGTTAAATTTGTTTGAAGAAATCATATTATAATTTTTTTTTATTTATTGAAAATGAAAGTGACTTTATTTGCATTTCCAGGTATAGTATAATATTTTTTACTAAATTATTAAAAATAAGTGAATATAATTTAAATTAATTTAACATTCTATATTAGTGTTGAGATTTTTATATGATAAATGAATAAAAGTCATTAAAAAATTTTTTAACATACAATAATATTAAAATTGTATTATCTAATGGTTAAATCTAGTTTACACTTTTAAAATTAATTAATGACAAAATGTATACTAAGTAACCTAGTAAGTATTAAAGTAAGCATTAAAATTATAATTAATTTTCCATTTAAATAAAAATTATATTATTCAAAATTTAATAAAAAAAAATAGGATATTTTTTCATGGTTTTATATATAAATTGATTAATTATAGAAAAAAAATGTATGGTTATCGGTGTACATTTTATTTTACTGTACGTCATCAAAACAGTGCGATTACAGTCTGACATATTGAATTCATCTTCATATAGTTTACCTACATCTAATAAATATTCGACGAATCAACAAAATATCTTGAGATACAATGATAAATTCGACTATGTAGCCAGATCTTTTTTACAAAAAAATTCGTTAAATAATGTGATACGAACAATTAACATAGCTCGGAAAATGGATGTAATTATTTTAATTATTTAAATTTTCAAGTCGTTTTTAGTTACGTAAATTATTTTTTTTAGAAAACTCAACCTCTCATTCCAAAGCAAATAAAATTTCCATGTAATACAAAAAATTCCAGATCATTAATAAAGCCTATTAGCGTGCATCAGCTTCGACCTGGAGATATAGATATCATTGGAGCTGTGGGAGATTCACTTTCTGTTGGAATAGGAGCATTCTCGACAAGTCTTTCGGATGTTTTCTTGGAATACAGAGGGGTTTCTTTAACAGGCGGTAATAAACATAATTTATTCATATAACAATATAGTTTAGTATATTTTCACACATCATGTTCGAGGGACTCAACTTGGAATACAGACTTAGTCCTTTGCAGTTTTACATTTTTCTTCTCACATTCATAATATATTTTATTTGTCGTTATAAAATATTTTTAAGGAGTGGGAATATATTTTTATTCCTCCAACCACCTACGTTCGATTTTTACTTTATTTTATTTATGTTTATATAGTATACAAGCTTTAACTTTGCCAATTATGCAGGTAGTGGTAGTTTCATTTTGTAATATTTTTTTCTAAGACGCGTGCTTAAAATAATTGAGAGTGATGATAATTTCACATTTTTATTATTTCTAATCTATCTATCAATGAATAAGTACTAGCTTATAATTATAAATGGAGACTTTTTGTTTTGCAGAACTGTGTATCACTAATATAATATATGCAATGCTTATTACCAATTTTTTTAGCGTTGGGTATCATAAAAATCATTGGTTACTTTAATAAAGTTACTTTATTATTAATGATAACCATATATATTAAAAAATATTTGATCCACAAAATTATAAATATATTATACAATTTAAGTAAATGGAATTGATCACTTGCGCATCAAATAGGTATTTTTGTCTCATGTTGCATATAAATTTTATTTTCAAAATATAAATAGTTAAATAAACTTAAATAAAAATATTATAATTTTTGAGTTTAATATCTATATTAGTTTAAATATATAAACAAAGTAATTTTTTAAAAATAAATTATATTAGGAGGTACTGGAACTTGGAGAGAATTTTTAACACTTCCAAATATACTAAAAGAATTCAACCCAAATTTATTTGGCTATTCGTATGGTGAACTATCTTTATCGCAACAACGTGGCTCACAATTTAACGTTGCCGAAAATGCAGCTTTAAGTGAAGATGTTCTTGATATGACAAAAGAGTTAGTAAATCGTATAAAAATGGATCCCAGAGTCAATTTGCAAGAAGATTGGAAGGTATAACATTTTATAAAGGATATATTTATTACTAGGACTAGTCTTAAAAAAAAAAGAGATACAAATTTGCATCTTTCTAAATACTACTATATTGCATAGCTTATCAAATTCAAAATCCAATTCACACATCTAAAAGTTAAATATAAATATGTTATACATTTTTTAATAATTATAACGAATAAATGCATTTTTTGTACATTTGGATTATTTTTATAGTATTTTTCTTCATATATTTAGTAGTTATAATAATTTTTGGTATTTTTAATCATTTTATTAACATTTATACACATTTTTTGGCAATTAAATGTGATTTTGACATTTATAGTGTAAATCTCAAAATTTCAGTAAACAATTTTTTATTTAAATTTTTAAATAAATTTTTGGGCTCATCGTAACACAAAATCAGCTCATACACAAAATAATTTGTTGATAACTTTGATTAAATATAATTTTTCTAATAATTCAGTACAAAAGAGTTCTATATTACTATTATTTGTGGAGAAATCTAGTCTAGAAAAAAATCTTTTACTAATGCTTTTAATCGATCATTTTTCAGAAAATTGCTTTTTCTCAAAGTTTTCTTGAATTAAATTTTTTTTTTTTCACATAAATAAAATTTAATTCAGGTGTTCTAGGAGCTATATTTCAAAAATTTATTATTATAAATATTATTACTCAGTTCTAAAAAAGTGTGTTTCGGATAAAGTTCATACTTTGAAATAATTTATTAATAGTTTTTGTTTTATGAAGCATTATGGATATTTTTTAATACATTTCGTATATGTTTTTAGTGTATTTTTTAAATTAAACATTATAAAATAATTAGTATATTACTTTACTAGTTTATAACTATGTTTATTGGATCAAATACATTTTGTCTTCAACTTTGTATCGATGATAATGTCATGTTAATTGAACTTCATAAACAAAAGGTATTTGAATCATTGTTGTTCATAAAAAAAAACCTTCCAAGAACAATGGTACAACTAATTATGAATGTCAGTAAGTATTGAATTTTTAATAAATAAGAATCACATAAGAACAAGTATTAATTAAAAATTATTCAAAATATTATGACATGAAAAATAAATTTCAATATTTACATAGTTACTCAAGTGAAAAAACAAACTATCATGTAATGAAAAATAGCTATTGAATTAACTAGTTTAATACTCATATATTAATTGTAAGTCATAATGAATTGGAATTGTTATTAATATAATATATTATATAATTATTTTTAATACACAATATTATTAGACATAATTATTAATATGCAACATTGATTAGCTATAATTTGTAAAATTAAAAACATTATGAAAACATATTTGAATCTTTTAGACTTAGAACTGTTGTTAAAACTAATAGATAAGCCACTTCGATGTCAATTGATAAACTTGATTGAATGTCCTTGTTTAATGGCAATGCAATACAGACATAATTTATTAAAATACATAAGAGTAATGAAGGAATTTCAAAAAGTTGAAAAAGAAATTGTGAGTATAAAAAAAAGTTTAATATTCAAAGACTATATTTATATTAAGTGTCCTGAAAAGCCATTTAATTCTTTAACACTTGCTATTTTAAAATATGTATTATACATATTATAACAATATAATGAAATATTTTATTAAAAAAAAATAATAATAAATTTAAATATAATATTATATTAAATACACAAAATTGTTGTGACTAACAAAGAAAATGTTTTGGGTTCAAAATTAGCTGATATTTATATATTTTGGTCTGTTGAAAATATACCAATAAAAAATGATAGTTAGCTTTAGTTTTTGAAATATATTCATAGCGATTGTTCATTATAATAAATTTTTCACTAACAAAAAATAATTACCTTTTTTTTTTTGCTTGCAAGTTGGCTGCATTGTGTAGATTGATGCAATACTGTGATTCATATCATTAGCTACTTCCATGAGGTATATTACTGTAGTTACCATCAGCTAGCTGTGCCGATGTGTATATTATAGGTTTTTTCAGTATTATTTTTGTGAAAATAAAATACCGCATAAATGTATGAATGCAATGGACAACTTTTGTTACATATATGATGAAAATACATTTACTGCCCAAAGATGGATTCTTAACCTCCTGGTGAAAACTACTTATTACCATTATTTTGGTGCAAATGTAGGTGATCAGGATAAGACCTCAAAATTGTTGCAACTCCTATTCAGTTATTCTGAAAGAATGGTTAAAAGGAAGAGAAACGAACAATATCCTTTGTAGTAGGATCAGTTGGATTAGGAAGGAGAAGCTTTAAAGTACTTAAGAAGAAAATTTCGAAGACTGAACGATGCTAAAGTCATAGGAGGAATTTTTGTTAGACCGCAAAGTCATGTAATTTTTAAAGATCTTAACTTTGAACCAATATTGAAGGAAAAAGAAAAGGCAGCTTGGATGGCATTTAAAAAAGTAGTGCATTAGTTTCTTGGTAACAGGGGAAGCAGTAACAATCCTCAGTTGTTCAAAGAGCTACTTGATAAATACTGTGCTCAGAGTTGTATTATGTCGTTAAAAATACATATCATCCACTCCCATATGGATTTTTTCCTCAAAAATTGTGGAGTGGTTAGTGATGGGCATGAGGAACTTTTTATTGTTTATAATTTTATTTTGAAAAATTATAAACAGCTCATTAAATAGAATGTTCAGTAAGTAAGGAGACGGTTTTATATTATTCTCATAGTTTGTAAAAACTGATCTGTTTCCTTATTTACTGAACACTCTATATACTAATGTTTAAATATTATGTATCTTGTAAATGGTAGCTAATAAAAAAAAATTCATTGCCATATTCGTTTTTTTTACCCAAAAATAATCAAAAACAGCTCAATTACGTTAGTGAACATTCCAAAAAAATTTTTTTTTGTTTTTCACATTATAATGCATGCATTAAAATTAAAAATATTTTTTCAAATTTTTTAGTTACTTTAATTAAAGTAACTACGTAGTAACAAATTTTCAAAGTTGAAATCGTTTTAAAACTATTTATTAATATTCTAGCCTTATCAAATATTATTTTATTAAACATTTTTACGAATAATAACTTAAGTAATTACTGACAATACTATGTTTGATAACAGCAGATTATGTTAGATATATTTAACTCTTCATTAGCAATTGTTTCTTTATACTTTCAATTATATAAATACGTTTTAAAATTCCATTTAGACTATTTTCCATTTAACAATAATAAAATAAATATAAGTTCCCATTTATATTTAGAAAGTTATCCCTAGAATTTATCCTTCGGAATCATTTTTTCTTACAATAAATTTTATATTTATAATGGCTTATAAAAATTAATTAAATTTTAATCTATATATTTATATGAAAAAATAATTTTTGACATTAATATACTCAAACATGTTTAAATTATTGTAGGCAGAAAATGAATTATTTAAAAACAGCGAGGACTTTACTGTTATATTACAAACTGTCACAGAAAATTTTACCATACCATTAAATAAATTCAACAGAACTGATTTTACATACTTCTCTAGTGATTGCTTTCATTTTTCTCAAAAAGGTTATGCAAGAGGTATGTTTAATAATAATTTTATCATAATTTCAACTGTAACTTATCGTCCAAATTTAATTGTTTCCTTAAAAAAATTAATATAAAAAAATATCTAATCATTTTGTGTAATAAAGTTAATGAGTATTTATTATCAGAATATTGACTATAATTTTTTTTTTTTTTTATTGTAGAAAAAGATACAATCTATATAAAGTATATAATTAGTACTTATGATAAAATATTATTATATTATTAATATAATTATATACAAATAATTTTGAAAAAAATCAATAACTTATGGAGAGGCCGCCAAGTGGCAGGACTCCAACAAACTTTAGTCTTCTTCTTTTTCCTCGCATTAATTCTAACTACTTGAAGTCGGCCACCCTTAACCTAAACTTCCACTTGACATGATTTCCCACATCATCTACGCTAACATAAGCTGTCCTTATATCGCATTCAATACCATCCCTTACATCTCTTTTTTGGTCTTCCTCTACTTCTTTTTCCTGCAAAATTGATTTCTATAACTGTTCTTATAGCTCCCGTTTCCTCTCTCCTCATAACAAGACTAAACCATCTAAGTCTATTTTCTCTCATCTTATCCACGATTGACGCTACACCTATATTCACTCTTATATGCTCATTTCTTATCTTATCTTCTCTAATCATTCCACTCATACATCTAAGCACTCTCATCTATACTATACTAATTCTCTGCTCTACTTTCTTATCAACCGCCCAACTCTCTGAACCATACATCATAACTGACCTCACTTGTAGAATTTACTATTCAGCCTCATCGGAATTTTTTTATCGCTTAAGACGCCACACGCTTCTGTCCACTTCAACCACCCTCACTTAATCCTGTGTCTTACATCTTCGTCAATACCACTGCTCTTTTGCACAATTGATCCTAAATACTTAAAACTTTCCACCTCTCCAATCACGTCCTCGCCTATTGTCACTGAACTCCTCATTTCACCTACCTCGTGTTCTCCTTTGTCAAACTTGTACTCTATATACTATGTCTTACTCCTACTTATTCTTAAACTCTTTTTTGAAGAGCTGATGATCACATTGCTACCCTTTGATTAATTTCATCCCTATTTTCTCCTATTAACACTATATAGTAGGCGAACAACATGCACCACGACACCTCTCCTTGTATTTCTCTAGTAATTTCATCCATCACTATAGAAAATAAGTAAGGGCTTAAAGCAGAACCTTGGTGCACTCTTACTTTTACCCTAAAACTTTCTGTTACTCCTCTCACACTTTTTACCCTGGTACAAGTGCTATCATACATATGCTTTATTATATTAATGTATCTTTTCACGACTCTTTTTCTCATTAATGCCGACTTTAAAACCTCTNCACTGTTAGTGCTATCATACATATGCTTTATTATATTAATGTATCTTTTCACGACTCTTTTTCTCATTAATGCCGACTTTAAAACCTCTCTCAGTACTCCATCATACGCTTTCTCCAAATCTATAAATAATTATTTTTCTTGAGGTTATAAAAATATAATAAATTTTATGTTTAATATATTTACATTCTTCGAAAAATAAGTAAATAGCTTCTTTGTGTTTGTTTAAATTAAAAATAAAAAGTTATCATTTTATCACATAAATTTAATAATAAATTATTGAACTAAAAGTTTTAAAATATTAATACAAAAAAATATTAAAATTGTAGATACTTTACAATATAATAATTGAAAACTTTGGATTACGTTTTTGTAAAAAACAACACTTTGTACACAGGTTCTTTTTTCAATGAACACTTTTATATCTAAAAACATCATAGAACAAAAAGAAGTTATACTGACTAATAAATATTCTTGGGGTGGTATCATTACTATTGATATAACGCAAATTGTACCAATAATATAAATTGTAAACATGGTCGTTTTGAAAGAAAACCATACCGGCCACCCTTCTATATACATTTTATATCATTATTTAATAATTTAAGTTCACTTTTTTTAATAGTGATACAATTAAATTTTATTTTATAAGTAATTAGTAATAAGTTAAGTCTTCTTTAGACGCTACCGTTTCCTATCATAATTAAATATAATAGGTATAAAAAAAAATTATTAGTTAGTTAACTTTATGGAAATGTCTAGTTCCACCTATAATTCATATATAATAAATACATATTAAACTCTTAAAAACATAGTATAACAAAGAAAAGACCAATAATCTATGCTAATATCATATATATTTATGCTGTATATATGCGATTATGCATTTAAGTTAGAAGATACAATGCCTTTACCCTTATTAAATAGTCATTTAAGTTTCGTACTGTTTTTGGTTTTACAAAACTTATGAAGTTATTGTTTATTTTAATTTCTAGCTATTAATGCAATATGGAACAACATGTTGCAACCATTTGGTCATAAATCCAATGAGTGGAATGATGTATTTGAAAAATTTGTCTGTCCTACAGAACGAAGACCCTACATAGCTACATGGAAAAATAGTCATTAAAGAATTAAACTTTTTTTAGAAATTTAAAATAGTTTGTAAAGTTTGTTAAAACATTTTTTTAATTTTATGCAGACCAATTGGTTATGTAAAATATCGTTAAACACTAAATTTCTCCTAAAATAATAGTTCTCATCCATCACGTATCAAACTAAACGGTTAAACAATAGTTTTTCCGGATTTTATGTTAAATTTGTTTATTTTCATTTTTATTTAAGTATTAAACCTACATTTGTTAGCAAGTATTGATGCTAATTACCAAATACACTTAATAAATTATGTTCAAACAAATTTTTAAATTTAATTATTAATTATACTTCGTTTATATAAGTGTTTATTTATTTATGTTTTGTTAAGTTTTATAAATATTAAATTATTTATTATGAATAATTATTTTATTCAAAAGTATTTATAATGAAATGAATAAAAAAAATATTTGAAAGTAGCATTCTTAAATAATTCACACTCCAAATAATATTACTACTTAGCTGTTAGCATAAGCGTATTTTTTAATTTTTCTTACGTGGGGTTTTAAATTATTATATTAAACAAACCCACAATTTGGAAATCATAATTAATAAATTATAAAATTTATAATTTATTTAATAAGATGTAAGAGTATTACATAAAGTTTTTATTTTTATATTAACTTTAAAAGGTATTAATGAAATAAAAGTGTATCTTTTGATATCTTAAACATACGTCTCCAATAAAGATATCAACTTGGCTCTTATTTTAATTTTACTAATGCAATCTTTCATTTTGAAATTTATAAAATTGTTTTTGATTGCATACAACAAACATTAAATGCGCCAATTGAAAGTTATGAATATAAATAATGAATTTGTTAGATAGATTGATTTCTGGGTTTAATTTATAAATATTTTTTTCATCTTTACTTAATATATGGAAATTTTTTTTTGTTTTGAAAAACATATTAGTATTGTTACCAAAAAATTTTAGTTTAATATTACAATGACATCCTATAATGTATTTAGAAGATTTATATTTTTCGGAGACAGATTATTTTCTATAAATTATTGATCGCCGCTGATATAAAACTTAAAAGTCAGAGCCTTGTTTTTAAGTTCTTTGGTTTCAGTCATTCACCATATCATTCTTAACTTATAAATATACAAGAGTTATATATATATATATTTTTTTTTTTTTTATAAGGCTTTATAAGCCCATTAAGAGCCATACCGGCCTCTTTTAAAAGAGGAGGTTTTTAAACCATTGATACTCCGGGACGGGTAGTTAGTTAGTCCGTCGCCGGAGTGAGGGATGACGACTCCAATTACCGAATTGATCTCTCGTTCGGCCAATGAAGCCGTCTGTATCCGAGTTTCGAACACGAGACAGTACGCGTCAAACACTGCCGCGTTACCGACTCTGCCACACCGTCCCAGACAAGAGTTATATATTAGAGTTATTTAGTTTGCGACGCGAAATTGTAATATTATATTATTACATACAATATTAACATATAATATGATGTTATCATTTGTACATGTATGTCACATATTCTGATTATACAAGATCACCAAAACAGGGTTCTCTTATTTAAAATACAAAATAACCCTTTAATAATTAAAAAAAAATCTCCCTCTTGTAGAAATTATTAAGTAACGCCTACACGCAGGGGCCCCATTTTAATTAACCAATTAGAATACAAAGCCTCAGCTTCCAGGATCACGGTAGAGATCGCTATATATTTATTATAGAATAACAAATCCAACCTAACTTTAGATTTTTATTTAATAATAAAAATTTATTGTGAGCTTTTCTTATTGGGTAGCTAGTCTCGTTACTAATGTCTTTGTTTTAACAAACATCGCGCCGGCAGACAGAGTTAAAGGTCACAATCTTCTCAATTTAAATTGAGAATTAAATTTATTTAATGATAATTTTATTTGACTGAGTGTATTGCAATCCAATACTTATTGGGTAGCTAGTCTCGTTACTAATGTCTTTGTTTCAGGGACGGCGTCAAAGGGGGAGTCGCCCCCTAGGACAGATTCTCGCCCCCTCAGTCCTGACAGAAATTTTGATTTAAGTGGGTGATTTATCGGTTATCGTTGTATAATATGGTCCGTGTATTGAAGAGAGTAAATAATCATATTTTATCGTTAAGTAATATAGAAATAGTTTTCATTTGTCGAAATGCCGATATCATTGAAATTTGTGCGATTTAAATTCAAAAGAGTTATTAATAACCACGTTCATCTAAATTGTGTTAATCGTTGGTATTCCACATTGCGTGTCCTCGTACAGTATGTACAGTTCACAGTTGGTGTGTGTGGTAATATTTCCGTTGATGCATATATTTATACGTATTTTTGTGTCTTATTTTTAATTTTATTAACTAAATTACGATGACAAGCAGACGATTAACAAAATNACTGCGTGTCCTCGTACAGTATGTACAGTTCACAGTTGGTGTGTGTGGTAATATTTCCGTTGCATATATTTATACGTATTTTTGTGTCTTATTTTTAATTTTATTAACTAAATTACGATGACAAGCAGACGATTAACAAAATAACAACTATCAGCTGAGTAACCTGTTTATCAATCGACCAGTCGATACTTCCAAAGCATCAATTTGTTAATCGTCGACTTGTTGACAAACATTACCACACACCTAAAATTCCAACATGAGTACTCGAAAAATTGATTCTTACTATGGTCCTCAAAAAAGTATTTCAAATGAGTCAACTAATGATAATGGATTACAAAAAAAACAAATACAGTGGCTGATATTATAAATTTAGTGCAACCGTGGGATGTTTAAAGTGATTTAGATGTCAACACAAGTAAAAACATACTTCTTATTATAAACGTACTACTTACTATAAATATAGATACGTCATTTTTCTTTTATCTTAAAATTTATATAATAGCTTAATGGAAAACTACTGAAAAGCTAAATAAAAATTATAACTTTTCTCTAGGTATAATAGATTTTAATAAAATCCATTTGTCGTAACACAGTAAAAAGTGAAACTATGTGAGTAAATGTGAAACTGTGTGTACGAAGATGAATATGAGGAGGTGGTGCCTGCTGTCTAGGTATTCACGTGCGCGTTGTCGTACAGCAGTCACCGTGCTCGGCTGACACTCCGGGTTAGCTGTGGGTGTCGAAAGGCTGTTGTTATAGGAAGGGAGAATAAGAGTAACACCTAGGTATGAGGTGCAGACGAAGTGCAAGACACAAATACTTGGGGTATAGGAGAGGACAATGAAGTACGAGGTGCAGACGAAGTGCAAGACACAANATTGAAAAATACCTACAGATTTACCTTGAAGCGTTTCTTATGATAGTGATTTTAATCACTGTTTAGTTAAGTAGTTAAGTTTTAAGTATAATTTAGTGTTAATCCAAAATCATAATATAAAAAGTTGTTACTAAAAAAATTGTGATCAAGTTGATTATTTTGACTAGATTTATTTAATTTATTGATTTATTTATCTAGATTGCAATAACTGACCAAGATGGTCAGGTCTTTTGGGTTTTTATAATAATTTGAACTATTGCCGATTTGGCAATAAATATTATTTGTTAATTCACCAGTCTCAGGCAGCGGATGTGCTGTCTGTATTTTATTAAAATAATTCTCACGATTATGAAAGCGTGACACCATCACACATTCCATTTTAACTGTAAATCCAAAAATAATAAAGATACACATTTTTAATAAATTTATACAAAGTTCTTTTATGAATTTTTTTAAAAGATTAAAAAAAATTTAATAATTTTTGTTCAGAATATATAATTTTAAAAATAAAATATTAAGTTTATTATGTTTTGTGGGAGTTTTTGTGCAATTTAATTTTAAATTCTTGATTAAAAGTCTAAAAAAAATTCAATTATTTTTATTATCTAATAACAGAAAAATCACAAAAATTATGTATTATAGTCATGATTATTCTTTTTTTCGGTATTGAAATTGAAATTGTCTTTAAAATGAATATTTTTACATAAAATAATGATGTTTTCAATCAAAAATTTGTACAATTTTCAATTTTTGATTCAATTCACATTTGTTTTGCCAAAATAACATCCACATATTTTCTAAGTTTTATAAAGTATAGGAAACAAACTCAACAAAATTTTTTTATATTAATTTAATGTTTGAATTTTGAAATTGAATATTTCAAATGACTTGTTTTTATATAAAATTTCATATTTATTTTTGTTTTTAAGTTCCTACATTTTGTTATTTTTAAACAAGCTTTTTTATGTGTAGGCTTAGCAATATTTGACATTTGTTCCTTGTATTTAAGTAGTATTTAAACACTTCTATTTGGTATCAAATACCCTATAGATATATCTTAAATTATTTTATTTTATATCCTTCTTGTGTGTTGTAATTTTATTCAATATCTAAATGTTAAATCTTCTAGATAATAATTTGATGAAAAATAAGTATAAATATATATATTATTAAAATTTATTTCAAATAATTATAAATATATTTCAATAAAAATTAATACTAAAAATAAAAATAATTTTTTAATACTTTTTAAAATAATATTTTATCAAGTTCCTTAAATAATGTTTAAAATTATTCTTTATAGGTGTGCATAAATAACTAATATTCTTTAAAATAATGAAAAAAAAATAAAAAAAGAATATTTATCAATTGACTTAAGTAGGTACCTATATTAAAATATATTGTTAACAAAAATATGTGTATACCAGGTTACTTGTACAGTTGTGTAGGTAAACTTGATAAAATTAATTCATCGGCGTAAAAGTTAAATTTAAGTAGTGATTTAAATTCTTCAATACTTGGCAAAATTTTTGAATTTCAATATGCTTTTAGGCACTTCTGGTGAATCGTCAACAGATTCCGATATTGCGGACTGTGATCTAGTAAAAACTGCCCATCGGAAAGAAAATCTCGTAGCCGCTAAAAGTTTATTACCTCGAAGTGGGCCATGTGATATCACACAAGTTGTTTCTGATAACCCTACTCAGCCGGTATTGAAAAATTATCCACGAACAACATTTGGGAAAGAATGGAGAAATTTTCATTCCGAGTGGTTTAAATTGTACCCATGGTTAGAATACAGTGTTTTGGAAAATTCGTGTTATTGCTTTCCTTGTCGATTTTTTTCAACTGATCCCTCTGGATCACCGTTTTCTGATACAGGATTGAAAAATTGGAAAAAAATAGTGGTATAAAGCAGCATGACAAATCAATTTCACATAAATTATGTATGACTAAATGGGAAGGATACAAAATGACTGAAAAAACTGGAAAATCTGTTTTAACTCTTGCAACTGTTG